TGTCTTTCTTTTATCACATCGATGGACACATAATATTATTATTTAGTAGTTATTTTTCCTGTAAATCTCGGATGAGATGATCAATGTCAGTTAGGGGTGCCATTGGTGTCATTAAACTGACATAATATGAAGCGTCTGTTCAAGGGCTATTTAATTATTTCCACACTAAGCAAATTCTCAGTAAAATGAAAAATGATTTTGTATAGAACCTTTGTAAAAGGTGGCAATGAGGGTTTTCGCGATTGAAAAATCCGCCAGATGGCAATACGTAGACGCGAGGTCCAAATGCTGCGTGATTGGTGGATTTTGACATATCCGTCAATGTCATGTCAAAAATAACCAATTATGCAGCATTTGGACCTCGCGCGTCTACGTATTGCCATTTGGCGGATTTTTCAATCGCGAAAACCCTCATTTTAGCAAAGAAATAGGCATTTTTGATTCAATAGAACTGATTATGAAACGGATCCGAAAAAATCAGAAATCATCAAAAGTGAAAATAGCCCTCTCTGTGAAAACATAAGCTTCTCATACGATACTATAGTAGATATACATCCCTAGTACGAGTATAGGTACTACGCGAGTCACTTTTACGACCATCTGGCCTAGAGAACAACTTCCTAACTTCTTAATAACGATTTAAGTGCTATTAAAGCTTCTGTCCCAGAAACCGAAACCATAAAATAAAGCTTAAATAATGGCTTGGAAAATTAAAACCTGGTTTCTGGTAAAGTTTCAGATAGTTTTCTGACGTAATCATAACACTAAGGGACTATTCCCACCTCTCGTTCCCACCGCTGCAACTCCTGTGTAGCCAGGATCTACAACTTGACCGCTAATAACCCAACCAGTGAAGGTCAAGTTTATCCCAGCGGTAAGTTACTGTCATTGGACCCGCAACGAAATTAATCAGAAGAACATAGGAGTTCGAAGTTAAGCTCTATATCTGTAACAAGGTATCAGCTTATGGCTCTATTATGATCTTAAGCACTCTTCAATATCACTAATAGATTCCTAGCGACACTCCAATAGATCCCCTGCTCGTTAACCCACAGTTAGCCATCAAATTATCAATAAAATTAACAAATAAAATAAAATAAAATAAAATCCCCATCAAACGGCCAAGACCAGGCAGCCATAATGTCAGGGGACATAAAAACAGCTATAAATCGGCCTATTTTAATGGTTAATGAAAATTCGTAAGCTGGAAGCCACATTTTTAACATTGTTTCTATCGTTAAATATTAAATTATAATTGGATAGTTAACACCAATCTCTCTGTCTTGCTTTCACGCCTAAACCGCTAAACCGATTTTAATGAAATTTGGCATAAAGATAGTTTAAGTCCCGAGAAAGGACATAGGATAGTTTTTATTTTTATCCCGGTTTTTTGAAACAGGGAGCGCGCGATGAAGTTTTTTTGTGACAGACAAAATTTCAAGCGGGCGAAGCTGCGGGCGGCAAGCTAGTAACTAATAATTCAAAGACAAATTCTTTGAAAAAATACTTGATTTTAGCCCTAAAACCGTGATAGTTTACAATTTTCTGTAAATTCTTTTTCCCATACATATGGTATAGTCGCGTTCAACTTAGGTTACTTTACTTAATTTTTTTAATTAAATAAATAATTAAGGTCACTGNCAAGAAACGTAAGGCGTGCTGATCTTCGGGGTGAATTTTTATTCTTAAAAACATGTCCTTTATATCTCCTGTTACTGCAATATTGTACTCCCTAAAGCTAGTAGGGAATTTAGTGCAAGAACCGACTCAGTCTTCCCTTTACCCGACCTACCGCGCTGTGAGTATGTTTACCCCGGCTTGCTCGCGCGCTGAGGAGGTAGGAACGAGGTGAGAACACTCCCTCAATCCTAATCAAGGTGAAACCACTTGTGGCTGAGGAAGCCCTTGCGGTGGATCAAAGTTGTAACCGGCACGTTGTAACAGGCAGACCCATCCTTACAGTATTGATTCATGGACCCCATATGTATTCCACATGCTCGAGAGCTGTCTTCCGTTGTTAGGCCCATTTTGTTGGACATGTGGTTCGTTCCATAATGCCCAGTTTGCGTACCAATAATTTCTTGGGCTTACCTTTTATTTCCGCTTAATGAGTTTTTTCCATGACCCTGTGTTTCCCTTTAGGAATGGTTTGGAGAGGCTTATCTTATATCGTTGGAGCTTTCCCATTCAGCACTGTGCTTCTTGGATGAAGTTTCGTATTTTGCATGAAAACATGACGATATCTTTCTGGTAGTCGTGTGGCACTGGTGGCAATCGTTTGATGTCATAAAGTATGCGGTTTATGATGACATCTGGGTTTCCAAAACGTAGTTGTAGTGTAGATATAATTACATCAGGTGACGTCGCACTAATGAGCATAGCTGACACGGTGNGCACTCAATTTACGACGGAAATAGGTGCGACGCGTGCCGCAGACCGTCGCAAGATTCCTGTTTTGGTCTTAACATCAACCATTCGTGTGCGCCCGTCCTTACCAGGGTATATTTGATGGATAATGCCTTTCGGCCAGGTGTTACGGGGTGAGCTTGGGTCAACCACAAGCACCAAATCGCCAACTTGCAGCGGCGCTCGTTCCTCGTTCCATTTCCTACGCGGCAACATGTCTGGTAATACCTCTTTTACCCACCTGTTCCAAAACATGTCCGCCATCCGTTGAGCTTTACGCCAAAGCTTCCTTAGATATAAGTCTGAGTCATCAAACTCACCAATAGTAGGTAAATTGGAGGAGTTTCCTAGAAGAAAATGATTAGGAGTTAATGTTTCGACTGTAGACGGATCTACTGATACATGAGACAACGGTCGACTGTTAATCATATTTTCAACTTCAGCTAAAAGTGTAATTNCTGCGACGAATCGCGCCGTAATGCAAAAAACATCACTCATCGTGAATCACAATGATGACTACGACCACTCTGGCAAGAGTGTACCGACCGAGAGGAAGATGAGCTTGGGGAATGTTTAAAGCAATTGTTTTGTTTTTGCCCAACTGTAAAAGGAATGGCAAAATGTTTTCGACTATATTCTATCTGTGCTCGTACATAGGTACGTGATACATTGGATCCTGGTTTAACGCTGAGCTGTGCTGTGATGTGAGTTGTGCTGTGATGAAGTTCATGCCGTGTTTCATGGAATCTTGCCTTAATGCTATTAAGGTAGTCTATGTATTTCCTGAGAGTAGTGATGCGATTACTACCGAAATACCAAAATCGTGGTTGTTGGCGATCGTAGGTGCGAATCGGAGAAAAACGAACGTTTGTATGAAATCGCTTTTATTCTTAGGTTTTACAACTGTGGCGGCGTGCGGTGCCGCTCGTGGATCGGTTTGAACTGACGGTTCATTCTCAACTGTCGCTTATGACAGGCAGAAATAGGGCCACAAAAATACCCTCCAATATTTATTAAAAACAAACTTATAACTACCGCAGTTTTACATACATTTGCGTGATATGGATTTAAGCAATGAATACACTGAGAAACAATACAAATTAACACTTAAAAATAATATTATGAACGCGTCGCTAACACTCCCCACCCTAGTGCTGCATCGCAGCACTCAATTTACGACGGAAATAGGTGCGACGCGTGCCGCAGACCGTCGCAAGATTCCTGTAATAAATAAATAAATAATGCCTTTCGGCCAGGTGTTACGGTGTGAGCTTGGGTCAACCACAAGCACCAAATCGCCAACTTGCAGCGGCGCTCGTTCCTCGTTCCATTTCCTACGCGGCAACATGTCTGGTAATACCTCTTTTACCCACCTGTTCCAAAACATGTCCGCCATCCGTTGAGCTTTACGCCAAAGCATCCTTAGATGTAAGTCTGAGTCATCAAACTCACCAATAGTAGGTAAATTGGAGGAGTTTCCTAGAAGAAAATGATTAGGAGTTAATGTTTCGACTGTAGACGGATCTACTGATACATGGGACAACGGTCGACTGTTAATCATATTTTCAACTTCAGCTAAAAGTGTAACTAAAGTCTCCTCTCTGGGTGCTTTTTCCTTCAGGACCACCTTCAGCGACGTTTTAACTGTCCTAATTAATCGTTCCCACGCCCCACCCCAATGGGGACTGGCTGGTGGAATGAAATGCCAACTCATGTGGATCTACATCTAGGGCACTCATGCATCGCTGTAGCTCTTTTTCAGCACCCCGCAGGTTGGTCCCATTGTCAGAGTATAAATGACATGGCCATCCGCGTCGCGCTGCCATCCTTCGAAGAGCCATGATCAGGGAATCAGCAGTTAGTGAAGCAACCACCTCCAAGTGCACTGCTCGTACTGTAAGGCATGTAAACAAGACACAATACCTTTTTTCTCTGCGTCGTCCTACAGCCACCTCAAGAGGGCCAAACAGATCTAGACCACAGTGCGAGAATGGACGTTGGTGATGAGCTAATCGCGCTTGAGGCAAATCTCCCATACGTGGAATCTGGGTCTTACATTTCTTTATGCGACAAAACATACATTTAGACACGATCGCTTTTACAGTGGGTCTCAATCGTATCAACCAATATCTTTGTTTCAGTTCGTTAACAACTGTCTCTTGACTCCCATGTGCGGCCTTAACATGGTAGTGTCGTGCGATGAGCTGAGCAACTGGATTACGCCCGTCTAGGATAATAGGCTTTTTTGCTTCCAGGGCTACATCTAATGCAGCATCAATACGGCCTCCAACGCGAAGTAGGCCTGTTTCATCCAACACTGGAGTCAAGGTAAGTAATTTACTATTCCGTGGTATACTTTTACCTTCGTTTATTGCATCAAGTTCCGCACCAAAGGATTCATTCTGTGCGTAGCGCAGTAGCAGGTGTTCCGCCCGGTCCATAGCGCAGCAGTCTATTTCCTTGGTAAGTCTTTTGCATGCATCAATAAACTTTAGCACCGTAGCTGTGGCTCTCAGTAACCGAAGCCAAGAAGAAAAACGCTTAGGATCTGGAACTGGTAACTCCATACGTGGGATGACTTGAGTCACACTCACAGCCATACAAATAGCAGAGTTCACTTCGTCTGCATCGGGTTTACCTACCACGTCCCTCGGCCACGACTCGCTGCCACTGAGTAAAAATACTGGACCATTCAACCATTCGTCCTGAAACAAATGCAGGTCAAATTCATCTCGCGTAGCCAAGTCTGCTACATTTAAATTCGACGGGATGTATCTCCACTCGTCCTGTTTTGTAAGTTCGTCAATTTCCCCTAAACGATTTGCCTCGAAGACTTTATACGAGCGAGTATCATTTCTGATCCAGTGCAAAACTGTAGTGGAATCGCACCAGAAAAATTGACGAACAGGTTTTAATTTATGTTCTTGAACTATAGTATTCGCGAGTCTGGCTGCTAGCAACGCCGCTTGTAGCTCTGCGCGCGGTATTGTCAGCGGTTTCACAGGCATGACACGGCACCTACTAGCTACAAATGCAACATGTATTACGCCATTATCGTCCCAACGCCAATACGCTACGGCACACATTCCCTTGGAAGACGCGTCACTAAATACGTGTAGTTCCAACTGTTGATATCTATTTTTAGACCTCGTAGCAGGTGCTACGGCAACAGAAGTTTCGTAGCTCGTCGTAGCACTATGCGTAGACGCATCATAATTAGTTCCGTCCGTAGGCGTTGAGCGGTGAAGAGGAGGGACTGCAGTTTGATCGTTTGTCTCCCTCGCACCCGTAGCTCGCAGATAGCACCTAGGAATGCGTATGTTTTTTATTACCTTAAGTAGGTCAAGCCATTTGCACCATGCGTTATAAACAGTATCTGGAATACAATCGTCCCAACCAATATTTAAGCGCCAGGTATCCTGTAAAATTATACGACCCTGAATTGTGAAAGGCGATAAAAATCCAAAAATATCAAATATTGACATTATAACCTGTAACATAAGACGTTTTGTAGGCCTCTCTTTCCCCTGAATAACAGTTTCCGGGATTCGTTTCAGGGTCAGATCGAATCCTAACTTGTCTTCCTTAGGAAACCATATTAAACCAAGAGTGCGTTCGCCATTGTACTGCTCTTGGTCCAAGTTATAATGAACAGCAGTTTGATTTACAGTTTCGTTTGGCAAATTTCCCAAAACATTCAAGTCATTACATGTAAAATTACGAATTTCAAAACCACCTTCTTTGTGAATTTTTATAATATTGTTAACCATCTCGATTGCAGACGACTCATCATCAAAACTAGCAATATAGTCGTCCATATAATGTGAGTTAAATACCGCGTCTACGGCGTCGGGCAGCGATGAACTATAGCGCTCGGCGTTTTTATTCTTAATAAATTGTGCAATAAAAGGTGAGCAGTTAGCACCAAATACAAGAGATGTCATCACATATGTTTTTATAGGTTCTGCAGGGCTGTTTCTCCACAAGAAACGTAAGGCGTGCTGATCTTCGGGGTGAACTTTTATTCTTAAAAACATGTCCTTTATATCTCCTGTTACTGCAATATTGTTCTCCCTAAAGCGCAGCATAATTCCAAATAGAGAAGATAACAAGTCAGGACCAGTTAGTAAATAATCGTTCAAACACAAACCGTTTGCCTTACTAGCCGCGTCGAACACCAACCTCAACTTTTTCTTGTTGGGGTTGTCAACTCCAAAATGTGGTAAATACCAGGCTTTCGAAGAGTCCTGGACATCCGTTAACTCCTGAGCAAAGTCATTGACCAACAAATGCTCAATACGCTCTTTATATCGCTGAGCGAAACCTTCACAACGTGACATTTTCCTTTCAATACCTAAAAATCTTTTATAGGCATTAGTGTAAGAATCAATCAACTTACAATATGGGTCCTTCCAGGGTAAACCCACATACCAGCGGCCATCAATCAGCTCCGATGTTTTCTCCAGGTGGGCGATGGCACGAACGTGGTCTGCATTCTGTCTTACCGTACTAGAAATACCTACAGAGTCAACGGAAAAATAATGCTTTACCTGCTCCTGAAGGTCCCGTAGTATGAGCTCGTCTTCGGTGGGCACACTTGCGGGGGCTGAGAAGCACAGGTTGACGTGTCCAAAATTTGACCTGGTCTGCGGCACACGCTCAACCCCGTGAATACACCAACCTAAAGGCGTGAGTGTAGCGAACGGCTCATTTTTATCCCCAGATACAATTTCTAATGGGAACATTAAATTATAATTATCCTGACCAATTAATATTTCAGGTTTATTGTCTAAACTATATAACTTATCTTTAATATTACACAAGTTTTTAGATTTCAAGTTAACAGTACTAAGTTTTTGTAAAGGTAAGTTAAGCTCATTTACACTGCGCGCTCTTATCGTATACAACTTATTGTCCATACCTGATAAACGAACATTAGTCACGGTCGCGTCACAAACCAGTTCGTTACTACTCCAGGCGCCGCTGACTCGCATCGTCTCGCGCCGGCCGCGCAAGCCCGCGCGCTCAGCCAGCTCACTGCTGATCAGTGAGACGGTGGAGCCGTCGTCGAGCAAGGCCGATGCACTAATTATACCGTTAGGTCCGTGTATACGCACGGGCACTACTTTTAGCAACACTTGACACTCACTAGCGTTGATATGAGTTACAGTTTCCACAGATTGTTGTTGTGATTCACTAGCGTTAATGTTATTTCGTTCACTACGACTGTTGTTATCAAAGTGCAGCAACCGGTGATGCGCTGCTCCGCAGTTGTCCTTGTCGCACGCGGGCGCCGGGCAGGTGTCTCGAGTGTGACGGGATATTAGGCATTTATAGCAAATTCCTTTGCGTTTTACGTATTGCCATCTCGTTTTTCTAAGCGCCTTCTTGAATTGTTTACAATCCGTTAGCTTGTGTCGATGAGTAGAATTGCAAAACTCGCACTTGTTATCATCTGTTGATGGTTCACATTGTGTTAACACTGTTTGCGGTTTATTTTCGATGCGTTTATGATTATCGTAGTTGTGATAACTCTTATCAGTGCGTATGTTGCTGTAATACACATTCGATGATGACGTAGCTGACACTTTTACGGCTTCATTATGCAGGAATTCAGATAAAATACTCAATCGAGATTCCTTATTTTCAGTAATTATTGGATAACTGTAGTCTATCCACTTAGACAGCAACACAGTTGGCAGCTTCGATAGGATGATCGAAACGATGCTCATTCCTTGTAGGTATTCTTCAGTGTTCAGCGCACGTACTGCTTCGATGAAGTTTCGTATTTTGCATGAAAACATGACGATATCTTTCTGGTAGTCGTGTGGCACTGGTGGCAATCGTTTGATGTCATAAAGTATGCGGTTTATGATGACATCTGGGTTTCCAAAACGTAGTTGTAGTGTAGATATAATTACATCAGGTGACGTCGCACTAATAAGCATAGCTGACACGGTATCTTTAGCAGCACCTCTGAGACACTTACGCAACCGCCATAAGTTCTCTTTTGCACTGAAACCGCAAACTTCAGTCGACTCGTCGTATGCTTGTTTGAATTGTAGCCACTCGATGGGATCACCGCTGAACTCAGGCAGATTTTGTGGTGTACTCAAGCGGCTGAGCAGGTTGGCGTGATTTTCCTTAGCACACACAGCGGCTGCCAGATCTTTTATAGTACCAGTTAGCATTTGCAGTGTTGCATCAGTACTCCCTTCTCGAGCCTGCGGCGGCGGCGCCGGCGCAGCGCACTCGGCGGTCGGCCGGCTGCTTGCGGCCGGGAGCGGCCCGGCGGCCGTTTGTTTGCTGGCAGGAGCGGGAGGCACAGGTGATGGTGCTCTCGGGTGTTCGATGCTATCTTTTTCTTGCGATTTGTAGCTCGATTCTAACCATTTCTCAACGATGAAGTCATCAGGTTTTTCCGTGTCTAAGTTGTATTCTTCATCTTCGAGTTCTGCGATATCCACCTCGAGCTGTTTGTCTATCAATTCCATGCGAATTTTAGCCTTTTGTAACGCAGCTTGCATCTCCAACCGTTTTTTTCTTGTTTGTATGGAGGTGACGGATGACTTGCCAGATTTCAAACTTGTGGGAGCGGGTGGCGGTGGTTCCGATTTGACACTGTTCGCAGGCTCGATGACATTATTTTTTACCGTTAGTACGTCGATCGATGCACTTTTTCCAACACCATATGCAGCACAAAGTTCAGTTCTATCATGCTGAGGAGGATTGTCCGGAACACATTTATGACTGCCGCCATTTTGTTCCCGTTCGAGTCGCGTAGTACTCCGCGTTCGCACCATTTTTACCGGTGTGTGGATCATTTAATCCGCTGATGATCCGGCTCGAAGTTTTGTTGGCGATCGTAGGTGCGAATTGGAGAAAAACGAACGTTTGTATGAAATCGCGTTTATTCCAAGTATTACAACTGTGGCGGCGTGCGGTGCCGCTCGTGGATCGGTTTGAACTGACGGTTCATTCTCAACTGTCGCTTATGACAGGCAGAAATAGGGCCACAAAATACCCTCCAATATTTAATAAAAACAAACTTATAACTACCGCAGTTTTACATACATTTGCGTGATATGGATTTAAGCAATGAATACACTGAGAAACAACAACAAATTAACACTTAAAAATAATATTATGAACGCGTCGCTAACACTCCCCACCCTAGTGCTGCATCGCAGCACTCAATTTACGACGGAAATAGGTGCGACGCGTGCCGCAGACCGTCGCAAGATTCCTGTTTTGGTCTTAACATCAACCATCCGTGTGCGCCCGTCCTTACCAGGGTATATTTGATGGATAATGCCTTTCGGCCAGGTGTTACGGGGTGAGCTTGGGTCAACCACAAGCACCAAATCGCCAACTTGCAGCGGCGCTCGTTCCTCGTTCCATTTCCTACGCGGCAACATGTCTGGTAATACCTCTTTTACCCACCTGTTCCAAAACATGTCCGCCATCCGTTGAGCTTTACGCCAAAGCTTCCTTAGATATAAGTCTGAGTCATCAAACTCACCAATAGTAGGTAAATTGGAGGAGTTTCCTAGAAGAAAATGATTAGGAGTTAATGTTTCGACTGTAGACGGATCTACTGATACATGAGACAACGGTCGACTGTTAATCATATTTTCAACTTCAGCTAAAAGTGTAACTAAAGTCTCCTCTCTGGGTGCTCTTTCCTTCAGGACCACCTTCAGCGACGTTTTAACTGTCCTAATTAATCGTTCCCACGCCCCACCCCAATGGGGACTGGCTGGTGGAATGAAATGCCAACTCATGTGGTTGTTTACGCCTTCCTGCCGAAGAACATCTACATCTAGGGCACTCATGCATCGCTGTAGCTCTTTTTCAGCACCCCGCAGGTTGGTCCCATTGTCAGAGTACAAATGACATGGCCATCCGCGTTGCGCTGCCATCCTTCGAAGAGCCATGATGAGAGAATCAGCAGTTAGTGAAGCAACCACCTCCAAGTGCACTGCTCGTACTGTAAGGCATGTAAACAAGACACAATACCTTTTTTCTCTGCGTCGTCCTACAGCCACTTCAAGAGGGCCAAACAGATCTAGACCACAGTGCGAGAATGGACGTTGGTGATGAGCTAATCGCCCTTGAGGCAAATCTCCCATACGTGGAATCTGGGTCTTACATTTCTTTATGCGACAAAACATACATTTAGACACGATCGCTTTTACAGTGGGTCTCAATCGTATCAACCAATATCTTTGTTTCAGTTCGTTAACAACTGTCTCTTGACTCCCATGTGCGGCCTTAACATGGTAGTGTCGCGCGATGAGCTGAGCAATTGGATGACGTCCGTCTAGGATAATAGGCTTTTTTGCTTCCAGGGCTTTTTGCATCCAATGCAGCATCAATACGGCCTCCAACGCGAAGTAGTCCTGATTCATCCAACACTGGAGTCAAGGTAAGTAATTTACTATTCCGTGGTATACTTTTACCTTCGTTTATTGCATCAAGTTCCGCACCAAAGGATTCATTCTGTGCGTAGCGCAGTAGCAGGTGTTCCGCACGGTCCATAGTCGCTCGTGGATCGGTTTGAACTGACGGTTCATTCTCAACTGTCGCTTATGACAGGCAGAAATAGGGCCACAAAATACCCTCCAATATTTAATAAAAACAAACTTATAACTACCGCAGTTTTACATACATTTGCGTGATATGGATTTAAGCAATGAATACACTGAGAAACAACAACAAATTAACACTTAAAAATAATATTATGAACGCGTCGCTAACAGTCACACTGGAAACCACAAAACAAAAATACAAAAATAAAGGATAAGAAGAAAAGCAGACAATTTAGCAGCTCTTCCTCTTTCACTCGTGTGGAAACTTGCATCAACCCATCTCTTTTTGGCTCCAATTATTTTGTAATAATGCATCGGCCGGCAGTGGGCGGGGCACATAGCTCGTAGAGACGATGGCCGTTAGGGCAGGAAAGTTCTCGAGTGGCGACCACGGGCTGGAAGACGGACGTAGCGTGGGCAGGCCTCCTACTAGGTGGACCGACGATCTGGTAAAGGTCGCGGGAAGAGCCTGGATGCGGGCAGCGCAGGACCGTTCATTGTGGAAAACCTTGGGGGAGGCCTTTGTCCAGCAGTGGACGTCATTTGGCTGAAAAGAAGAAGAAGAAGAAGAATGCATCGGCCAGCTTCTATGGTCTTCTTGGTAATCTTTGTCTATGGTCCGAGCTATGATTTCAAACATATGCATTCTCCGAAACCCGATACGCTAATGCGCGACATCCATTAGCCAAATTAACGAATGGCATTCAATTATCAGGCTGTCCCCAATTAACGCGAACGTTTGGCAAGCCTAGTGCGGCAACCAGACGCCGTGGCGGCTGGGTGGCCTTGCTTTTGTGGAAAAATACCGGGACAAATATTTAGAAATTTTTATTATTTTGAGTAAATAACTTTTTTTTCTTCTAAACTTCTGGGTTTTTTTTATGTGACAGGAGGCAAACGAGCAGACGGATTACCTTATGACATTGATGAAACAAAAAATTCTTACCTTAACAAAGTATTACACTTGAAAATTTTGACGGGTTCATCCAGTGTCTAAGTAGCTCAGATGGAACAGTCTCCCGGCAAGCGAAAGGACGTGGGTTTGATTCCCGCTTTAAGCAGTTCGACTTTTTCAAGTTATTTATAATTTAGTTCATTACGCAATTTTCTGGAAATATAAAATTCCCCAGGTAGTTTAATTCGGGTTCCTGACAAAGATTTAAATTAAGTTATTTTAACTTGCGACCAGTGGACCAAATGTCAAACAAACGTCAAATAATAGTAGAATACCATTTTAACCCACAATCGATTTACGATTGTAACACGATTGAAGAGCAGACTACCAAATAGTCCAATGGCAGTTCAATGGAATGCCATTGGAAAATCATTGGTCTTTTTTTAGAATAGAATAGAATAGAATATATTTATTTGTAATAAATGTGGTAATTTTTAATAGCAGAATACCAAAAGTGTCAAATAATTCTATTGAGATTCGATTACGATTCAATTGAGCCATTTGTAAATTAGCGGACTTGGGGCCCTGCTAGTTAACTAGAATAAATACTTTTCTGTCCACTCTATACCTTATATCATCGTCACCCTACAACTAACGTCGGCACGCGAGGCACTTAGTGTATCGCTGTACACTCGGCCTCAATTACACATGCATGTACAACGCATTATGCAGGCAATCACCGTTTGTGTTGCACAATATACATTAGCATGATTTCGACCACTGATGTACGAGGCTGATGTTACCTCGTAATAGAATTTTGGTAAAATAAGTTAGAATACCACCCACAAGGTGGACTGACGACCTCATAAAGGTAGCAGGAAGGCGCTGGATGCAAGCCGGTACCAACCAGCCTTTGTGGAAATCATTGCGGGAGGCCTATGTTCACCAGTAGACGTCTTGTAGCTGAAATGATGATGATGAAGTTAGAATAGGAAACAAATGGACTACAAAATTGATAATAGTCCCGTTAACCCCTCGTGCTATGCTAAATATGCTTGTTTTACGATTGGGTTCACAACAATAGTCCAGCGGCGGGGTTCGAAACATCGGTCCTCGGATCTCGAGTAGGCCAGTCCGACACCTTCATCGGTCAGCTATAGTAGCTTGATACTTATTAGCTATCAAAACGCTTTTTTCCACAGTTAGAATAGAAATGTCCACATTGACGTAACTTATAGGATCTCTTGCAAAGCCAAGTCCTAACAATCTCTAGGCACAAATACCTTCAAAAACCTAAAGTAATAATAAAATCTTAAACTTCATTTCACTTTCAAAGCGTTCAAAACAATAAAAATTCTTCAAAATTAATGTAATGTATCAAATATTATAAATAATTCTCTGTTCACCGACAAAACGGTGAAAAACTTTATGTCAAATAAATTTCCCGTGAAATGGCGCGTGACATCGGCCATTTTATTTGTACAGGCATAAATTGAATATGTCATCTGTATTTAGTTGTATTATGGGCTATTTTGCAGTAACTATACAGTTTGAATGTGCTGTCAAGTGAACAAAGACAGCGTCTGAGTCAGATTTAATTTTCTGAATATCTAGTTTCCTTAAAGAAATGCGTTTTAGACAAAGAAATACGTATCTAGTTATTAAGGTTTAGATACAACTGTCATATTAATCATATAGCCTCGCACAAAATAAAGCATATCAGAAGTACATAAGATGCGTTTATTGCATACTTATGGCAAGAGTTATACTTTGTTGCACCTTCAATCTCCATACGTGCTATAGCGACTGCATACGCAAAATAAATTATTTCAACTCAACTAGGTGACAATAGAAAACCGACTCTTAAAAACAAGCATTTATTTAACATAGCTCGAGGGGTTAACTATTTAATACTAATTGCAACAATCACTAATAATTATTTTTTTACAAAAACCAAAAAATAATTGACCCACGTTCATCCCAGCAGTGGGATGACGTACACGTAACACTAGACACGTGAAATCAGTTTACGCGCTTCCGC